AAATATAAATAGCAAACAATTCAATACGTAATAATAAAAAAGCTATGCATTATTATTATTATTATTGTTGCTGTTGTTGTTATTATTATTATTATTATTATTAAACAAGTTGGGTTCATGCAAAAATAAGAACAATCACAAAAAAATACAATATATTTTAGATTCTTATACAACCCAATGACGTTAAACAAATAATTAAAAATAAATAAAGTAAAACCAAAATATCCTCCAAACTAAACTGAGTAAGATATAAAGTGTGAAACTAATTGTTCAGAATGAAATCAGCTACATAATCATTTTGATTTCATGTTGACTTAAAAAATAAACTCTTCCTCTGAACACTCAAACTTTCCCCTGAGAGCTTGACAGAGGAGAGGTGAGCGAGTTTCATAAGAGCAAACAACCACAGCTGTCAGAGAAGAAGAAAACACACGCACACACACACACACCCACACACACACACACACACACACACACACACACACACACACACACACACACACACACACACACACACACACACACACACACACACACACACACACACACACACACACACACACACACAGCCGATACAGCAGCCGAGTGTGATACTGACCACAGCGTAAAGGTCAGAGAGGATTGAAGAAAACCTGCTGTTAATCCAGAAGCAGATTCTGACAGCTGTATACTCTTTACTTCTGCTACTGTATATACTGAATATGACTGACTGACTTACTAGTGCAAAACAAACAAACAAGCTTCCACAAGCCAACACCAAGCAGACCAACACAGACACAGAGGAAGTGGCAGCATTACGACCATATAAGGAACACTGCAGCATGCTGTGATTGGTCCACCGTGGCACTGTGCAGAATGCTAAAATATCAAAATATTTGCATAATGATGACATTGTGCTGCTTCATATTTGTGTCAAAACTGATTTCTTTTTTAAAATAGTTGAATGATTTGTGGTTTCATTTTAAGGCCTCATTCATTTTCTTTTCGGCTTAGTTCCTTTCTAATCAGGGGTCGCCACAGGGGAATGAACCAGCAACTTATCCACCACATGTTTTACACAGCGGAAGCCCTTTCAGCTGCAAACATCCATACACACTCATTTATACACACACATACACTACGGCCAATTTAGTTTAATTTCCCTATAGTGCATATGTTTGGACTGTGGGGGAAACTGGAGAGCCCAAAATAAACCCACGCCAACACGCGGAGTACACGCAAACTCCACACAGAAATGGAAATGATGTGCAAATAATAAATATTATTTTTAGTTTTAAGGTTATAAATTGATATTCTATTTACTTCGATTCAAGTTTATTTGTATAATGCTTTTCACAATAATTAGCAGATTTTTGCACATTATTGCATTACAGTCAATAAATTAATATCAATAATTACACGTATAATAGTGAGTTTTTTCGCCCAGTAATGACCAGCTGACCGTATCTTCCTCATATCAGCTCTACAGCAGAAAACATGAACATGAAATTTGTGATAATGGTGAGATAACATGATTGAGGTTTGATGATAATCACCTTGACTGTACAGTTCAGGTCTTCTTCTCAGATATTAAGAGTCTGTCAGTCTGTGTTTGTCCACATCTGACCGTAAGTGCTCATGATTGTCTGTGTTTCATTTCTAGGCCTAATTTTAAATATTAAAATTAATAGAAGATAATTAAAATGTCGAAAAATTTAGATTAGATGTAATATTAGAAATAATATCAATGACAAAAAATAATTAAATTATTAAAAAAAATAGTAACTTGTTGTACAGGAAAGCAGCAAAAAACATAAAATGAATAATGAGCATATGCCAAACACACGTGCCAACGCACGCCTCCCACCAGTGCCGATATACAGCCATATCGCACTGCTACGGGTGTGACAGACAGTCTGTATTTACACATAAGCTTCAAATGTTTTCCAAACACTGATGATAATAAATGTTTTAGGTTGTGAGGCGACAATGCTAACCACTGAGCCACCGTGCCGCATTATTATTATCATCATTATAATTATTAACAACAACAAAAACGACAATAATAATAATAATAATAATAATAATAATAATAACATTAATAATAATAACAACAACAACCACAACAATAATAATAATAATAATAATAATAGCAATAATAATAATAATAATAATAATAATAATAATAATAAT